ATTGTTCCTATCCCAATCTGGAGGAGGGCTGAAGCAGAGAATTAATCTGGACTCATTATGTAAACGCAAGAGGTCAAGATCTGACACGCGCACGCGCACGCACGCGCACGCACACACACACACACACACACACACCATGCGTTTCAGCCTCATCTAGTCTTTCCCAGATGAAAGCTGCCAATCTGGGGAGATTTCTGTATTATAGGCAGAGAACAATAAAGTAGCTAGTTTGAACTCTACATGAGCGGGTCTGGTTGTTTGTACCTGGCAACCAGACAACTACCGTAATGTCTCACCCTTACTGACTAGGAATTTGGGAAGAAGTAGTCGAAACATCCAAACAAAATTTGAAGAGCTCCAGGTTTTCAAGAGTGTTCCAAACTTGTTGACTATAATTTTTACCGAATGGTACATCAAATATTACTGATGTAACACAGAAACAGATTGCATTCTATTTATATTAACCTTAACTAACTAAATTAAGAATCAATGATCCATTGGAAATTCTGAAGTGGTCTATCAGTGGACTGCAATTTCTGTGTATAAGTACATTGTTTATATATCTAACACAGCCTTCTTCAAATCAGTGTCCTGTGGATATGTGGGATCACAACTCCTTAGTCATGGACAGTGAGAGTTAAAATTCAATGTTTTTAATCCAAGGAGACAGAAATAAATCTCTGTGTCTTTGTGTATGCCTACAAACAAAAGGGAAACAGCTGGAGAGTTGATGTAAATGAAAGATTTAATGCATTTCTTTCTACCTTTATTACATTTCCCCCCCCATTTGACAAGTAGCATGCACCTTTACCTGATTTGATGAAGTCTCGGTCTTTTCACTGAGCAGCTGAGCAGCCAGAGCTGGTCCTTTGTACCCTTCTTGTGTGGGCAATGATAAAGTAGAAGATGAAGATGAAGGCGGATTAATCCAACCATCCATTTTTTCATAGACAGATAATGGGGCAGAAGTTCCATGTGCGGAAGGAGCCTGATAGGTAGCCCAAGGGCTGGTTGGCAGTGCTTGAAAATCTTGTTCAATGGAAGGAGCCTGTGACAAAGTAAGAAGCTGGAGGCGATTGGCTGGTGCCAAGCCCTGCTTCCCATGAAGTGAACATTTCCACCAACCTTCACTCCCAAGGAGATTCTGTTCAAGAACTATCAGGATGTCTCCTTTGCAAAAGGCTAGCTCATCTGGACACTCAGCTTTGTTGTCATATAAAGCCTTGGCCAAAGTATTCTGAAGAAAAACAAATGAAAAGTAAGCGAAGCTTCTTCTTCTCATAATTACTAAATTTATATTTAAGTTGCAGTAAAGGTTTAAATGAGACAGGGTTCAATTCCATATTGTTCTGGAAGACCTCTGTGCCCCGTTATTCACTTAAAATTTAATCAAACATCTTACATCAGTTTTGGGGTTTCAAAGCTGCTAATTATCACTCTCACTCAATTGCAGATGCAAGGCTGANAGACAGAGAGAATCAGAGAGAGAGACAGAGACAGACAGAGAGAGACACAGAGAGAGACAGAGTGAGACAGAGAGACAGACAGAGACAGAGTAGAGTCGAGCTAGGAATTTTCCAAATTTTTGACATGCTGAGCTCAAAAAAGATCACCATCCAAGTTATAGAATAAATCTAAAACTAAATCATCTCAATTTTTCAGATTCCCTCCATTTTCTTTTCTGATAAGTGACTTTAACACAACCTTGCCAATCAAGCAATGATGGCAACTATGCTCAACCATCCACTTGCCATGCTCACCATCATGCTCACCTGAGTCAACAAGGATCCAGAATGTTGGGATGTTGGAATGTCATAGACGTTGTTTCTTTTCTCCAGAGCTGATGCCCATGTAGCTCTTGGAAGAGTGAAGAGGTGCTTGGGAGAAGAAGAGGGAAATGATGAAATCAAAATGACACTGATATTACCTGTGAATAATCCATTAAAAATGTATCTTTAGCCACTTTACCAACCTTTTTTAATTACAAAAAAAAAAAGGAAAGGAGGGACAAATACAAATTTCTTGATTTTAAATATCCTCTTCCTTCTGTCCCATTCCAAGTTAAAATTGAACATGGGGAGATATTGCAGATCTGAAACTTATCTTTCTTCGAGGATAACAATCCTTCTATATATATAAAAGCTAACTACCACTCACTCATCATGAAATCTCCAGAATGGTAATAATTCAGTAATGCAGGGAAACCACAATAATCAGCCAAAAAACCCTATCATAATGAAGATGGGAGAAGCAGTGATAAGAGAAGAGTGTCAAGAAAATAGAGGTTGGATTGTGTATCAGTGATATAAAAGTTGCAACACTGAGGAAAGAACCTTGGTCTAGTCTACCCCACCATTTATTTCATGAATGAACAGAGGTTTAAACCAATATCTCCTTGAACTTATTCTAGTACTCTAACTATTGTACCACTTTGGTATTAAATACTAGTGACTCTTCAAAGCTACATTTTGAATAATTCTCAGATACTCCTGCCTCTTAAAATTGTGATTGGGCTAAGAAATCTGATTTAAACAAATGCAAAGATTACAATACACAACTGTGTATTGTACACAATACACAAATGTGCATTCACATTTCTTCTATCGCATACAAAAACAGGTACGATGAAGATATTAAACATTTCAAGCAGGGGTCTGAAGAATAGATTAGAAATTGAGGCATATGCCAAATGTCATATTAGACTCTAAAAGAGATGGATAACAATCTGGCAGGTTGTCAGCAACAGCTGATGCTACTACAGCTGACTGTGTGATTCTAGCCAACTACTCTATTTCTATTCCTGCACTAGCTGGGCATTTCATCACATGTGTTCTTTAAGCATATGTGTTTGTGGTGAAGAATTGCCACAGGACATTTGTTCTCTGCGGAAACAACTGCAGTCATAAGCCAGATGTAGCTTGAGAAAACTGTACGTTCACAGGATTACCGTAACATTTGAAAGCTTGGTGGGGTTTTTTTTAACAACTTCGCTCACAGAACTGGTAAAGCTAGTTATAGTTACCATACTTTACCAGCCTTATCAAGTGCTTAAGATCATGGACTTATCAGATCAGCCAAAAATGTCACCATTCTACTTCCAATAATGATTTAAGTAAAGGATTCTTGAAAGCCAAGCTGATGACATTGTCACTCAAGGGTGCCTGATGACGAGATGGGTGGTATACTACCACTATTACTACTACTATTACTACTACTACTACTACTACTACTACTGCTACAAATAATAATAATAACAACAAGAACAATAACAATGACAATGACAACAGTCAATGACAGTCAATAGTATTTGTGACACATTTTTAAACGTTCAATTAACTGAGTTTCATGTTTAATGAATAAAGTATATAATAATAATATAAAATAATAAAAATTGTTAGGGCGATTTCTTTCATTCTTGGTTTTGGTGTTCCTGGTGTTCTTAAGTAATTTTTCGTTGCAACTCTCATCTCATTATATTGCCCAAAAAGTATATAGAGTTTATGGAAATTATATTCCAAAACATTGGGAAGAAATTAGGCTACATAATTCTGTGCTTTTTTTTAAACTCCCCAAGTATTCATAGCAGAGGGTACTCCCAATTTCTAAAGGTAGAAATTGATATTATATATTGGGCTCTCTTAAATTGGTTTGAATTTCATAAAGATACTATGTAAGTGCTTCCTTTGTTATTGTAAATTATTGCAAGAATTGTTATTATTGTAAACCAGTTGTCCCCAATTTGACTTCTCCCTCTAGATTGAGCCTATCCCAATCTGGAGGAGGGCTGAAGCAGAGAATTAATCTGGACTCATTATGTAAACGCAAGAGGTCAAGATCTGACACGCGCACGCGCACGCACGCGCACGCGCGCACACACACACACACACACACACACCATGCGTTTCAGCCTCATCTAGTCTTTCCCAGATGAAAGCTGCCAATCTGGGG